AATATGGGTAACTACCGAATGGGCTCGATGAGTAGAAGCAGAAAAACGACATCCGCCGCCATTTTGAAATTCGAGATGGCTGAACAAAATCCAATATGGCGGCCTCCGGACGGCGTATATCTATCTAAGCCCATCCAATATAGGTATCTACGGAATGATATCAATAAGTAGAATTGGAAAATTGATATCCACAGCCATTTTGGAACTCAAGATGGTGGATTAAAATCCAATATGGCGGCCTCCGGACAGCGAATATGCATCTAAACACTTGCAATATGGGTATCTTTGGAATGGTCTTGATGAGTAGAAGTGGAAACTTGATATCCGCAGCCATTTTGGAATCCAAGATGGTGGACCAAAATCCAATATGGCAGCCTCCGAACAGCGAATATGCATCTAAGCCCATGCAATATGGGTATCTACGGAATGGTCTCGATGAGTAGAAGTGGAAAAATTATATCCGCAGCCATTTTGGAATTCAAGATCGTGGACCAAAATCCAACATGGCGGCCTCCGAACAGCGAATATGCATCTGAACTAATGCAATATGGGTATCTACGGAATGGTCTTGATGAGTAGAAGTGGAAAATTGATATCCGCAGCCATTTTGGAATTCAAGATGGTGGACCAAAATCCAATATTGCGGCCTCTAAACAGCGAATATGCATGTTAACCCATGCAATATGGGTAGCTACCGAATGGGCTTGATAAGTAGAAGCGGTAAATCAACATCCACCGCCGTTTTGGAATTTGAGATGGTGGAACAAAATCCAATATGGCGTCCGCCGAACAGCGATTATGGATCCAAACCCATGCAACATGGGTATCCACCGAAAGGACTGTGAAAACTATGAACTATGGTATTATTAACTTTAAAAATTCATTACTTTTGTACAATTGAACCGATTTTAAATCGTTCTCCTGCAGATGGAAGGTCTTTGAAAGTAAATCTAGGGAAAAAAATTATTCAACTGCACTGCAAATAAGATTTTACAAACTAAAATTAAAAATAAAATATTTCTTTTTTCATAGACTTCACAGCCTATTCCGTAGATACTCATATTACATGGGTTTAGATGAATATTCGCTGTCTGGAGGCCACCATATTGGATGTTGGTCCGCCATTTTGTATTCCAAAATGGTGGCGGCTGTCGCTAGTAGCAACAATCAATACGAAACTATCGATTTAAAATTGGCTCACTACTTGACTAGCCTATTGGTCCCAAGCATATCGATTAACGTACCCCATTCTAGTAAAAATTCTAGTACTACACAATGTTTGTTTTGATTCGCTATGAAAGTTTGACAGATAAAATGAGGGGTTAATGGAATTCCCTATGTTTCGAGGGATGAATCGATTAGCTTGGGACCGAAGAGAGTACCAGAGCTGAGCCAAAAAGATGAGCACGTTTCTTCGGGACCTTCTGGTCTTAGAGTTACCTCTATGCTAGTAGGCTTTTTGTGGATCAAGAGAACTGTGGAACCTTTTCTTTTCCTACGGTTTAGGACTTCCGCAAGAGCATTGGTTTTTGAAGTTGAGGGCGACCGCAAACCTCAAAATTGTTCACTACTTCCCTGAAATTAATGTGATGTTACGATGATATGGAACTATCACTCACTGTAGCAAGACAACTCAACGCTGTTCGACTTGATCAAGTTTAATAACCTCAAATTGTACTCAACCTGACAATGTATGATGGGCCAAAAACGGTTTCGGCGAATCCGTGGGCAACATCGCCCACGTGCAACCACGGGATAAATGAGAATCACCTTCCAACAACAGGGTCATACAACCGATCAAAAAACAGGCCATCCAACAGGAGGACATGCGTGGCATGCACAGTTGTACACACCAACTGCTCATTTGGTAATAAATTTTCACTCAGATATTGAAATTTATTTTTCTTTGAAGTAATTGATAGATAAGGCTCATAGTTTACTGTAGATATGCGAAGATTAGGTAAAGCTTAATATTTGAATCAACACTAATCAATTTAACACTTAACACTTAACACTTAACACTTACATATCTATAACAAGCTTAAACTCTATTCTCTCTACTGCTTCAAAAAGAACTATGTTCCGTCAACTGTGTGCAAAGTTATTAGCAAATGAGCAGTTTGTGACCAACACTGTGTATGCCAAGCATGCAGGAGGATGCTCCAATGAGTGGGGAGAAGAGCCCGCCTTCTTTTCACGAAATGTTAAAGACAGGGAGTTTGCATTTCCACTCTCCCCATCCATTTGGCTTCAATCGAGTACTCTGGTGGACCCCATATAGTGTTTCATATAATAATAGAATGAAACTTTAGAGAAAATATGATGTGTTGCAAAGGAATCCATGACATCACGATGATTTCTAAGAGCTATCATAGATAAACTGCCGCTACTGCTTCAACCGGTGTTAAAAACAGCACTCTCGCATTTCGTTCTTCACACAGCTGCGTAAACCCCCATCAACCACGAAACACAATCTAGCTGCTCCAACTAGAGGGATCTCAGCAGAAAAAGAGGACTGCGTCCACTTTCCAGCACCACTCACTCGCAACACAACGGCTTCAGTTTGACAGTACACAGCCTGTAAGACGCAGCGCCAGCTCCTCAACGGCAGAATCAACTCGCATTCAACGTCGAAATCAAAACCGACAACTCCAGTGACCGAAAACGAACGCGTCTAATAGTGGCCACGGCACACTTCGATTGCATTCCTGAAACACAACCTCAACGCACAAACACGACGGCGACCACATTCGACAAGCGCCCTTCGTACGGGAGGCGGAACGCTAACGTTGAAAGCCAAACGCGAACTGACTACTTCACCGAAATTAATGTAACTGCAAACTTGAAGATTTCCTGAAATTTATTAACTTCCCTGGAAATCTTTGGACTTTCCTGAAATTTCAGAATGTTCTCGGTTCACCCCTATCCCCATATTTTTCTGAAATGTAGTTCTTCGATTTTCAATGATGTTCTTGAAATTTTTCTGAAGTTCATAATAATTCTTCAATATCTTTAAATATCCCCTAAATTCTAAACTTTCCCAATGCTTCACGTGTTTTTCTGATGATAGCTGGAACTGCCCAGAAGATCTCTGAACAGCGTTTAGTTCTCTAGACATCCAGGAATATGTCTGAAGTTCTCTGGACCTCCTTGAAGATTTCGGAACTTCTTGAAGGTTCTCGCCATTTTCAGGAAATTAAGAAAAGTTCTTCGCTCACGAACCCACCATTTTTTTGTAAGGTTATCGAAACTGTCATGACATTCAGGGAACTTCTCTTATTTTCCTGATGTTCATGCAACATCCCTAATCTTTCCAAAATTTTCCTGAAGTCCTCGGAACTTTGCTGTGGTTTTCTAACACTCCTTGAGTTTCTCATAGCCCCTTCAAAGATCCAGCAATTTCATTGAAATTTATTGAACGGACCATGCGTTCTCTGATCTGTCCTGATGCCCTCACGATTCTACTGAAGTTCCTGATTTAAAACTTCTCCAGAATTCACTGGAATCCGGAGAAGCTTCCAAAATATTATTGAAGTTCTCTTGTCTTCCCTTAAATTCTCTGAATACCGCTGAAGTGCTTAAATTTTTTTAAAAGTTTCTGCAGTTTAGCCTTAGGTAATGGAACTGCCTTGAAGTTCGTAAAATTCCCGTGAAGATTCCATAATATTTTAGATGGAATGAGATTAATCGAACTGCTCTAAAGATCTTAACATCTCTGAAGTTCTTTGGGCATCCGTGAGTGTAGGATCTGTAGTGAAGTTTCCAAAATATTTCTTTAGTTTAGGGGTTTTCTTGGCTACTTTCCCTTACTAAATTCCCGGTTATTTACCAGTGCAGAAGTGCGTGAAGTTTGTACGGTCGAGTCGCGTCGTGTTGCAAGAAACTAGTATTGGATGTGTTCGTGAACGGAAAGAACGTTCGTTTTGAAGTTGATACTGGTTCGCCGGTCAGTATCATCAGTGCGGAATGCCGGAACCGACTGTTTCTGAGTGCGTGGTTGCGTGAATGTGATACGAACAGATGGAACTTACAATGCGAAGATTCTTTCAGGAAAGTGAAGGAACAGATGCAGTCCGACAACTGCCTTGTCCACTACGAACTACCACTGCTGCTTGCTACGGTCGCTTCACCCTACGGAGTAGGGGCTGTGCTGAGTCAAGTGTACCCAGATGGCAAGAAACGTCCAATCCAGTTTGCGTCCCAGACCCTGAACCGTGTGCAGCAGAACAAAGCATACGCCATCATATTCGGCGTGAAGAAGTTTTTACAGTACTTGTACGGTCGGAAGTTTCGATTGATTACCAACAACCAGGCTATCTCAAAGATCTTCGGAGAGCACAAAGGGTGGCCGGTGATGTCAGAGTTGATGATGCAGCACTACGCTACCTACTTGCAGAGCTTCGACTTTGAGATCCGGTTCCGGAAGTCCACGGATCATGCGAAGGCGGACGCCATGTCGGGAATTCCGTTAGAACTAACTGGTCCTCAGAACGAAATCGAAGAATCTGATGCTGCGGAGTTGAGTCAAATCGACGCTCTACCCTTGACTGCGGCCGAGTTAGGTCAAGCAACTGCGGAGGATCAGACGGTGCAAAACCATGTTCAAGGAATCAAACACGGTCAGCTGGTGAAAGCGAAGGATCGGTTTGGAATCGAGCAGAACGAGTTCTCCCTACAGAAAAGATGCCTGCTTCGATGAATTCGAGTGTACGTGCCTGGAGTTCTCCGGAAACGTGTGCTGGAGAAATTACATTCTACTCACTTCGGCTGGCAAGAGGCTATTGTTGGTGGCCTGGTTTGGATTGGGAGATCGAAGAATTGATTGCGAACTACGCCGACTGCCAGTCGGTACGTGCAGAGCCAGCGAAGATGAACCTACATTGCTGGGAAGCGCCAAGTGAACCGTTTCAAAGGGTCCTTTCATCATCTACGTGGATGCGTTCAGTAAGTGACCAGAGATCAAGGTGTGCAGATCCATTACGGATGAATGTACCGTTAGCATGTGTCGCGAGATCTTCAGTACGTTTGGAATACCGTCAGTACTGGTGAGCGACAATGGCGTCCAGTTTACTCCGGAGGTTTTCCAGCGGTTCCTGAAGATGAACGGTGTAGTCCACAAAATGGGAGCGCCATATCATCCGGAAACGAATGGACAGGCCGAGCGATACGTCCAGACGTTCAAGCAGAAATTGAAGGCGTTGAAGTGTGTCAATTCTCAGCTGAACTTGGAGCTTACGTACCGCAAGATGATTCATCCGTCTACCGGGAAATCACCGTCATTGCTCGGTCAACAGATTCGATCGAAGACCGACTTGCTGCTACCGAAGAATGAAACTTCAAGCAAAGCTGATATTGTTGTGCGTCAGTTCTTGGATGGTGATCGAGTTCGTGTTCGCGATTTCTTGTCGAGTATGTAGAAACGTCTGGTTCGGTCCGAGGTACAACTGATAATAGATATTTATTCTCATGCTTTAAGGTTGTTACAAAACCAATGGTTGCTTAGATCCTAAAAATTTAATATATTCAAAGTTTGTAATCTGCTAAGTATTTAGGTACATGTTTCGAGCGCTTGCTGGTAGCTCGGCTAGTCTCAAAAGGGCGTTTTCGACCATCGCATCGTGAGACCATCTGAGGTTCCTTAGTAGTTTGGCTGGTAGAGGGTTTTTCCGTTGGATTCGTAGTACGTTCAGCAGCAGTTGGAATGGCTGGTCCTATGTCATCTTCTTCTTGTGTGCCCTCAGAGGTTTTATGATTATCTGCGTCATTCTCCTGTTTCATCATGGGATTCGCATTTAGGATTCGTTTCATGGGATTCGCATTTAGGATTCGTTTGGTGTGGTTCACGTGTCGATTGGAGATCACACTGCTTTTAATGTTCTTCAAGTGGAGTCGTGATCCGTCGCGTTGTATCACAAGATGAGGTTCGGGGTTGAAAGTGGTTGTTAGCTTATTTTTCTTGACAAAAATTTTCACAATCACATAATCTCCAACATCGATATTGCATTGCTTAGCTCTCCTTTTTGAATCCGCATACATTCTTCCTTTTTCTTTCGCCTTCCTATCGTTTTCTCTTGCTTCAGTTTCATTTACTGGTCTTGAGTTTCCTGGTATTTTATCCCGAATGTTCCACCCAAAAGTCAATTCCGACGGTGAAAACTTTGTTATGCTGTGAGGTGTTGCTCGGTAAGAGTGAAGAAAATCTTGTAGATCATACCGCCAATTACGTCCCATAGTACAGCTTATTTTCAAGGTCTTCAATAAAGTTCTGTTTTGCCTCTCGACCAATCCATTTTGAAAAGCTGCATAAGGAACTGTATGCTTGATTGAGATTGCATTTGTCTGACAAAAATTCAAGAATTCTGCTGAAGAAAATGGCTGACCATTATCGCAAACAACTTCAATAGGATAGCCGAACCTTGCAAAAATTTCCCTCATTTTAGTGACTGTTACTTTTGCTGTCATTGAAGTAAGTATAGCAACTTCAACGTACCGGGAGTAGTAGTCTGTCGCTACAAGCAAATGGTAACCGCCAGGAATTTCCATGAAATCCACCGCTATTTTCTTCCACGGTCCGTTAAGCATCTCGGTTCTTGTTATAGTAAGTGTATCAGGCTCTGATACAAGCGTACATCCTGTGCAAGATTGGACGAATTTCTCTACCATAGAGTCCATCCTAGTCCACCATACTTTAGATCGTAGTCGACGTTTCATTGCTGCAATTCCAAGGTGAGGTTCGTGTGCAAGCTTCAAAATTTGGGTTTGTAGGATTCGAGTAATTACAATTCTTTGATCTTTCATCAATAAATGTCCATCACTGGTGAAGCATCCCGACATCTTTGCATAACGCATTAATGTTCTAGGCCAACGTCTAGAAGGGTACGGTAACCATTTAATCAGTTCTTGCAGTTCTTCATCTGAGTTTGTGGCAGTTACAATTTCCTGAAGGGTTATTGCCAACGGGCAAACATCACTAGCTATCATTCGTACGATTCTTTCTGATTCTTCATCAAAGCTAGGTCCATTATCTGGTAAGATTGGCAGAGTCGTGACAGCGGGTCAGCGATGTTATTCTTTCCTGGACGGTACATTACTTTGAAATCGTAGGACATCAGGCGCAACTTCCATCGTTCAATCCTTGGTGACGGCTTCAGACGATCTCCAAAAATCACGACTAACGGCTTATGGTCCGTAACCAGATGGAAAAACTTCCCGTAAAGATAATAGTGAAACTTTTCACAATCCCATACTAATGCTAAAGCTTCTCGCTCAGTCTGCGCATACTTCTGTTCTGTCGGAGTGAGAGTTTTAGACGCATAACAGATCACACGATTGCGATTATCTTTCCCTTTCTGTACCAAAACAGCACCAAGGCCAACAGGACTCCCATCGGCAATAACATAAGTTTCATCGTCAACATTATAAAATCCAAGGGTATTTTTGTTAAGTAGAATCATCTTAATTTGCTCGAATGCTTGTTGGTGTACTGGTTTCCATTCGAAGTTTATGCCTTTCCTTGTGAGCTGATTTAGGGGGTGTGTAATGGTTGCCATATTTGGAACATGTCGATGAACGAAATTAACCAAACCAAGCAGACTTCGAACTGCTTCTGCGGACTTGGGGACTTGTAATTTTTCGATAGCTTCCAGTTTTTCTTGAGAAATTGAAATTCCTTGTGTATAAATGTGATAACCCAAGAAGTCTATTTCCCTAGCGCCTGTGATAACTTTGTCAGCATTTAGTAGTATCTTGTACTGCTTCAATCTGTTATACACCATCAAAGTTCTTTCACGAAGCTCAGATTCGTTTCTAGCGGGGATCAGAATGTCATCGATGAAAATAATAAGCCATGGAAGATCAGCAAAAATCGTCTCCATAACTTTTTGAAACAACTCAGGAGCAGCAGAAAGTCCAAACATGAGCCTTTTATAACGGAATAAACCAAGGGGTGAAATGAAGGTGGTGATGTATCGACAATCTTCTCGAAGAAGAACTTGATGGAAAGCTTGTCGAATGTCAAGTTTAGTGAAAATTTGATTTCCTCCGATTTTCTTCGTTATTTGCTCGAGTGTTGGAAGGGGATGGACTTCTCTAACTATTGCTTTGTTAGCCTCCCGGAGATCTACAATAAGTCTGACCTCATCGAAGCTTTTACGCTTTACTAACATTGGAGAGACCCATTCAGAAGCTTCATTGACACGTTCAATGATGTCCTGCTTCTCTAGCTCCCGAAGTTTTTTTCAAGGTCAATTCTTCAAGAGGAAATGGTATGCGACGAAGGCTTTGGCGGACTGGAGTTACAGTTTTATCGATTTTGATATTAGCAACAATACCTGTACACATGTGAAGTTTAGAATAGATTTATTTAAATTTACCTGTATAAATTATTGCTTACCATCCATATGTGGGAACGATTCATCATTCACTGCTTGCAAAAATTTCACCAATCCAAGTTTGACTGCTGTGACACCTGAGAGAAGCGAGCATTTCCCATTCTGGATCACGTAGAACGTAGTGTCGGTACTCCGACCGTCGATCATAGCTTCTGCGTCGACTTCACCAAGCACTTTCAACGGTGTATTTATCCCATAAGCATTGAATACTTTGCTGCTTCCTCTCCTGATAGAGTATGCTTCAAACCCAACGCGTTTCAACGTAGCCCAATCCGCTTCGCTTAAAACGTCTTCGTCTGCTCCTGTGTCAATCCCGAACTTCAAACAAACTTCTCCAACAGATACTGGAACCAGCTTCTTTCCTGCTCCTAGATGGAAAAGATCAACTACATCTGAGTTGCGCTCGGTTCCATCTACAGATACTTCTCGTACGAATCGCTTTTGTTTACGGGAAGCTCCGAAACGATTGTACTGGGACGGTTGTCCGTTGGTCTTCTTCCTTTTTAGAAAACAGCAGCGGGAAAAGTGTCCCACTTGACCATAACTTCTGCATTTGAGTGATTTGGCTGGACACGATGGATCTTTCGAATCATGTCTGCCATTGCATCGGAAACATCTGAACCGCCTTGGTCCTCCGAGTTTGGAGCGTACCTTCAAAATTGACTCTTCATTGGCCTCCGTTTCGACAGCGCTGACTTTTTGTAAGTTTCCGTTCCGATTGTCCAAATCGCTCATCTGTATTTGAACAGACTCGTGGGTACGACCGATCGCTACGATCTCCTTGAAGTTAAAGTCTTTTTCCAGGCACTTCCTCTTCAGACTCACATCCGTTGTAGTTGTAATAATTTGGTCAGCTACCATGCTTTCCAGCTGATTTCCAAAATCACAGTAGGCTGTCTGTTTTTTCAGTCTGATGACAAAAGTGTCAAACTTTTCACCTACAGCTGGTTTCATCTCGCGGAACTTCTGACGTTCGAACGTTTTCGAGAGTCTCGGTACAAAGTAATCGTCCAACATTGACATGGCAATGTGGTACCGGTTCTCCATAGCGTGTGATTCGTCAACATGAACTTGCTTGACCACTTTCCGGATGTCTGGTCCACCGAACATCATCAGGGATTTGAATTTTTCCTCCTGATTGTCAACGTCCTTCCATGCTAGGTATGCTTCAAAATGTTCACGCCACTTCTCCCAGCGGGCAGACACTGGTCCGTCGGCATCTTCGGCAAACGGAGGGATCAACTGGTTTACCTAGAAAACACGCATTTTAAGGTACTTTACGAGCTACACTACGTCTGTGACGTATTTTTATCAAAATTCATGTGATCTGCGTACTACACAAAACTCAGGTTCCGCACTGAAATACATATACACAGTATCACTCTGCGTACTTCATCCCAAATGTTGGGTTCCGCATTTAACATTCTCTAAGTTCAGATTTACTGCGTACTACATCCTTAAATGTCGGATTCCGCTTAAAATATCTCATATTTTCCTGCGTACTTCATTCCAAACGAAAGGTTCCGCTTTCTTTCACATTAGGAATTTCTGCGTACTGCATCCCATGAAACATTGGGTTCCACATAATGATACTTTTTACATATTTCACTGCGTACTTCATCCCGTTGCTATGGGTTCCGCGTATTTTGTTTAGAATTTTCCAGAATCACCGGGTCTCACGTCATCAACAAAATTGTTTTAGTGAGAATCATCCCTAAGCGATTAGGATTTTCATTCCGAAAAAAAAAATACCCTGAACTGCCTCTATTTCTTAGGATGTTAAATTCCGGGTTTACGGGAGAAATTGAAATTCAATTTTCTCAGGTAAAATCATCCCTAAGAATTTTCTATCCACGGAAATGATTTCAGGTTTGGTACATTAGAATTTTCCACTGCAAACTCTCTCGAAAATCTGCTTTATCACAAGTACTCACCATAGGCCAAGCCATCTCACGGGGGTCCGAGTAAAATTTTCTGGGGTGGAGTGTCCAAATCCGTGGGTAACTTTTATCGCTCGTCGCCAAAAT